AAGCAACTGCGGGTCCCCGTACCGTCGCCTGTGGGACCGAACCCACCGTCTCGGAGGAAGGGCGCCTATACTGGGGTCACACCCAGATGACCCGATACGTTACCCCGCATAGTGTGTAGGTTCGCGGTCAGGGATGGCACAACGAGCGGTCTCCTGAACACATTCTGGCAGTTTATGCTCTATTTGTTCCGGCTGGACTTTCTATCACTTCTGGGTGTTGCAGGTGATCAGGTCTCTACATCAGATGATAGAGTTGGGTGGCCTGTCGAATGCAGCCCGGACGGAATAGCCATCGCCCAGTCCAAATGGTGAGCTGAAAGTCGCCGACAATCGCCGATGGCCTACCTACATATGTATTAACTGCGCATTTTCCGCGACTCATGTCGATGGGAACGGTATAGGTGGACAATGGTATCGACGAAATCGGCGGCGGCGCCCGGGGCCGCGCCGCTCATACAAATGACCGGAAACCTCTGCAAATTGGCGATCATAGCGAATGGAACCGCCGGGATCCGGCGGTCGCCAGTCTGATCCATTGTTGGCCTGGGAGCGCCCTCGAATTCGCCAGGTTTCCATGGGAACGGCCGCCGACGCCGGCGGTCGCAGGTCCGTGTCAGGCGGTCTCAGGTCCGTGTCAGGCGGTCGTAGGTCCGTGTCAGGCGGTCGCAGGTCCGTGTCAGCCGGTCGCAGGTCCGTGTCAGGCGGTCGGCGCTCCACTGACACATTGAGACGGGCTCGGAGAGTGGTGTAGGGCGCCACTGCGACAGCTCAGGACTCCTGGACTGCGCAGTCCAGGACTCCGGACTCCGGGACTGCACAGTCAGGACTCCGGAGTCCGGGAGCGCGGCACGGAGACACTGGACCTCGCCGAGGATGGGCGAGGCGCTGCTCTGTTCCGACACAATGGGCCGGGACACAGTGTCCTTTGACCGACACAGTGTGTGCAGGGCTTTAGCGGGGGCCCCGTGTCGCAAAGGACCGTTTATATGACTCAACAGGCCGCCTTCTGGCACCCAGATGGCCTAATCCGTTACACTACTGTAATCTAATGTGTCCCGAAACTGATCACCTCAAACTGCACCAAGTGTCCCAAAGGGTGGTACCTAGTAACGGGACAATTTATCTGGCGAAAATGCACCAAACCTGACCAATTCTAACCAAATCCCTTTTACAACAAACATACTCGTGTTAATTTATTTCCATGTTTTAACCGAAAATAACATATCACAGTTGAGTAAATCAGGTAGGTATACAATTACATGTAAGTAACTAGTGCAGCCTGAGAAAAAAAATTCAAAAAATCAATTGTGTACCTCATGAATCGCACCTAATGTCACCGAATGTGTGCAGATAACTGTCGTGAAAACGGCTATTGTCTACCTAAAAGTGACTGATTTGTGAAACTAAGGCATGAACACTGGGCGACAGTTAAAATCTCAGCTCTCATTAACCCGGCAGGCGGTGGGACTCCCGGCCACCTTCCGCGCGGTGGGGGGAGGGGGGGCATTTTTTGCCCCCCCCGTATCTCCGAAGCTACTTCACGGATCAGAAACATTCAAACGGTGTTCGATGGGGAGAGCGCTATAACATCGAGCACCATCGAGCAAAACGCATTTTGTCGAAAATCAGCGATAGGGCGTCGGTTGTCTAGCACATATGTTGCTATTAGAGGTTACTGGTCATACCAGGTCAGGTCACAGGTCAGGTCATCAAGGGTCACCACATAAACCCAACTTAACTAAGGTTGTGCGATGCATGTTTTATGGCCAATTTTTCATTCCCAACTCAATGGTGTTGGTTATAAGACCATCAGGTACGGTTTAGGTCACTTTCTGGTGGAGGTCAGGTCAAGGTCAGGTAAAAAAAGGTCAAATTTCAAAGTTGCTAGATTTGCATGTAATGGGTATTGATTCGATGCAACTTGTCACAGGGAGTCTAATGGTGGTCTATGTTTTGCGCTACGAAGTCTTGAATTGCTAAAAATTGAGTTTGAAAATTTGACATCATCAATTTTGAACAGTTTTTTCGCTATAACTTGGCCAAAAAGATGTATCGATCTCAAAATTGGTATGTAGATAGAAGGTGGTAGGAACTATCACATATATTCCGGTTTTTTCGAATTTCATTTTTTTTTTGGCTATTATATTCAAAAAATTTATTTATGGATTTTTTTTTGGTCAAAATCCAAAAATTTCACAAATCTGAGATAGCAGTTTTGTAGCCCTGTCAATTTTACCCCTTTTATGTGTGAAACATTTTTCTGTATCTCCAAAGCTGTAGGCCTGACAGCTCTTCCCGCGAAACCATTTTTAGGTCGAAAATGGCAGAAATGACGTCACTCTGACGTCATTAGCGGCCAACCTATCACAGCCTTTGGAAAATTTCTTAGTCACAATGTGCAATAGCTATTCACGGGAGGGTACTGAAAGTTTGGTGACGATCGGCGCAGCGGTTCTGGAGATATATAAAAAAAAACTAAAGGGGGGGGGGCAAAAAATGTCCCCCCCACCGCCTGGAAGGTTAAGAGCGGAATAGAATACGGACAAGTCAGCAACCATGCTAACCGCGTCCCGCTGGAGATCCTGGATTTCTACGCTCCGCTGGGGGTCCTGGATTTCTACGCCCTGGGTATTTGAAAACCCCCCTTCTATCTCGGCTCATAGGCGGCGTAGCGATACGCGGAAGGCGTCGCACGAAAGAGCGCCAAAAAATTATGACGAAATCACTTCGGTCATTTTTTGGACAGGTTAAAGGTGAGGTCACCAATGGTCAATGAAGGCAAAATTTCGTCGATTTTAAGTCGAATGTCGACAATTTCCCAGAAGCCAAAGCATAACTCGGGAACCAATAGAGCTACAGCGCCGGGGAAAAACGCATTCGATAGCTCTATTATCATTCTTTCTGATTAATGCTCTTAGATTTGATTTTTGTCAACGGTTTATCCCGCGGGGGAATGCCAAAATAGCCGATTTTTTTCGACAGCAGTTTTTCTGCCATAAGTTTTGACTCAAGCCTTGCAGGAGCTTCATTTTACCGGCATCGTGTTCGTCTCATCAAGACCCATCGAAAGATCTATACATTGACCTTGAAAGGTCAACTTGAAAATTTGATATTCGGGAAAAACTACAGGAAGGGGGGGTGTTCAAACATATCCCAGCAGGGCGCAGGGGTTAACAGCAGAATAGAATACGAATACAAATCAACGAAATCGCCAGGGAAGGGAGGTCGTAACAACCACCCCTCCCCCGTGGTGGGTGTCCGCGTTGTGAAAAAGGCCCTGGTCTGGCGGGGGTTTTAGTAGGGACCCAGGAGTAGCATACATATGGCAGTTGTTGCTGGCATTTGCCTGACATCAAATTATTGTGTATTATTTTTTTAGCACACTCTGGCGCATGACAAACACTTCTTGAATTTGGCATCGGTAATCCTTTATATTCGAAATGTTATATTTGTTTGCTTTTGGTATACATATAGTTCGTTTTATCTTTGACCCCCACTGTAAACATCTCTTCGAACACAGCACGAGATCTGCTAGCTGAATTACTGAGAAATATTATAGTGCATGTATGGCCTAAACTTTTGAATTCATTTTAAAAGGAAAAAAACACAAGAAATTACCCAACGTTTCGCATTTATTGCTTAGTCTAAACTTTTGAATTCATTTTAAAAGGGGAAAAAACGCAAGAAATTACCCAACGTTTCGCATTTATTGCTTAGTCATGACTAAGCAATAAATGCGAAACGTTGGGTAATTTCTTGCGTTTTTCCCCTTTTAAAATGAATTCAAAAGTTTAGGCCATACATGCACTATAATATGTCACACCTGTCTATTGATAATCCTCATTACTGAGAAAACTGGTTGGCGCACATTGAATTTCACTGACGATCAACTGTACCAAAAAAATTTCTTCCTGGCTCCTATTTTTCACAGTGTATATAGATACTATTTCCCAGACCCTCAGCTCAAATTTGCCCACATTTAGAACCCCCCAGGGATAGACAACTTGTCAGAAATTACAACTGAACTAATCATTGGTTATTTAAATCACACGGCGTTTAACAGATCGGTATATCATTGGTGTTAAAAACTAATTTGGAAAATATTATTCATATCCCCATTACGATGTGCGCTAACCAGTTTTCTCAGTAATTTAGCTAGTACCTAATTCTCGTGCTATTTTCAAAAGGTGTTTACAGTGAGGGTCAAACTTAAAAAGCGAACTATAAATAGCAAGTGCTGTTTAATCTATTTAGATATTATTGAAAACAGGCCATCTTCGATCCCTAGCGTGCAAATAAGTAGATTTGTTCTTGATCCCTGATTTTAACGATTGCTGCTACACTAGATGGACTTGATAAGACGCATAAGAACATTTATTTCTCGATTCTAGAACGTAAACATTTTTTTCTTTTACATAAACTAGGTATTGTTGGAAAAGTAGAATATGAAAATTGATAAAAGAAAATGAAACTAAGGTACATAATATTAAAATGAAGTTTCTGCATTAGCTGATGTGTAAACTACATGATTTACATAAAATGATTACCTATACGATAAGGTGATTTAGGTAATCTGTGACTTTTCATAGATTTTGTGCAAATTTCGTGATACAATCAATGGTAGGTATGTTCAATCAATTCAATTCGATACAATTCAATACCAAATTCGAAATGCAAGTTATAAAATGCAACATGCTTATGTTTATTGTTTTCTATTATTATTGTTTCATGTTATTGCTGTCATTAAGCAAAATATATCAAATACACTTTTATACGGACATATCCTTAGAAAGGTTTTTGCATAGGGAGGTAAAACATTAGGTTTAATCGGAAAATATCGTGCCGTGTGTATACGCGCTGCACACAATTCCAGCACTGACTTGGTGCGTAAAAGTTGCGGCGCTGTGCAGGATACCGTGCGTATTATCTCAGCGTAGCGCGCGTAAGTTACTAGCGCGCGTAAGTTACGCAGACGTGCCGTGGGTTCGGCCAGCACGTACCTTCATGTCGTGGCCGTCTGAGCGCGTGTCTCCGTCTCCGTCTCCGTCTCCGTCTCCCGGTGGCAGGCGGTCGCTGCTGCTCTCGTCCAGTCGGCCGACGCTTCTCGGTCCGGGCACTGCAGTAGAGAGTGGATCCGTCCTCCGGCAGACCCGCAGAGAGAGAGAGAGAGAGAGAGAATCCCTTCCCTCCGGCAGCCGCGTTAAGAGTCGCCGCCGCCGGCCGCCCGCGCCGGTTTTGTTCGGCAGCACGGCCTCCGCGGCGGAGGGAGGGGGACGGAGGCGGGAAGGACGACAGGCTGGAGGACAGGGGTGGAGGACAGGGGTGGAGGACAGGGGTGGGGGACAGGGGTGGGGGACAGGAGGGAGGACGGGGAGGACGACATGAGGGAGGCGGGGAGGGAGGCGGGGAGGACGACAGGAGGGAGGACAGAAGGGAGGACGGGGAGGACGACCTGAGGGAGGCGGGGAGGGAGGCGGGGAGGACGACAGGAGGGAGGACAGGAGGGAGGCGAGGAGGACGACAGGAGGGAGGCGGGGAGGACGACAGGAGGGAGGCGGGGAGGACGGCAGGAGGGAGGGGGAGGGAGGCGGGGAGGACGACAGGAGGGAGCGGGAGGGAGGCGGGGAGGACGACAGGAGGGAGGACAGGAGGGAGACAGGAGGGAGGACAGGGGTGGGGGACAGGAGGGAGGACAGGGGTGAAGGACAGGAGGGAGGACAGGGGTGGGGGACAGGGGTGGGGGACAGCACTACAGGTTAGAGTGTGGACTGGAGGGTGCGAGGATGTCAGATGACGCAAACTAATGTCACTAATGCACGGTACCGCGATCGAGTGACACCTCTGCTGAGTGAGCTGCGATGGCTGCGAGTGGACGACATGATCCGCGAGCGCGATGCAATGGTGGTCAGAAGCATTCTGTCAGCCGAACATGTTGCAGAGGAGCTTCAAAGGAATGTCGTTCGCCGCTCCGATGTATCGAACCGCGTCACTCGGTCATCCGCGGACGACCTGCTGCAGCTGCCGCAGGTTCGAACTGAGTTCAGTCGCCGCTCCTTCCTGTTTCGGGCAATTAAGACATGGAATAGTCTGCCTTCGGCGGTGCGAGCGTCGGCAGGAGATGGTGTTCATGGCTTTAGATCTGAGCTGGTTTCTTATTTGTCACACAAGTGAGCAGTGCATCAGGATCTTTCCGCCCTGCGCTTAGGTTTCTTTATTCGTGGTTTTAACCAGTGCCTACTCGTATATTTTACAGTGTTCATTGTGTCATGCTTTTAAGTTATGTATTTTTATTCACATGTTCATCGACGTGGCTGCTGGAACACCCACTTTGTGGAAGCACCGAAATACATCATTCATTCATTCATTCAAACTGGCATTTTTACCGCATCGATTTTGCACTTCGCTTGTGTAGTTAAGCACATGACACTGAAAGACTGGTTATCAGTTCAATGTTCCACGGAAATTTTTTGCGATCGTGTCCATGCTATATCTAGTTTATCCTGCACCCCGGAGGATCATTGCCGCCCCTGTCCAGTGTCCACCGCTGTCCAGTTCCACCGCTGTCCCGCTGTCCAGTTCCACCGCTGTTACGCTGTCCAGTGTCCACCGCTGTCCCGCTGTCCAGTGTCCACCCTGCTACGCTGTCAAGTGTCCACCGCTGTCCCGCTGTCCAGTTCCACCGCTGTCCCGCTGTCCAGTGTCCACCGCTGTCCCACTGTCCAGTTCCACCGCTGTCCCGCTGTCCAGTGTCCACCGCTGTCCCGCTGTCCAGTGTCCACCGCTGTCCTGCTGTCCAGTGTCCACCCTGTTACGCTGTCCAGTGTCCACCCTGTCCCGCCGTCCAGTTCCACCGCTGTCCAGTGTCCACCGCTGTCCCGCTGTCCAGTGTCCACCGCTGTCCCGCTGTCCAGTGTCCACCGCTGTCCTGCTGTCCAGTGTCCACCCTGTTACGCTGTCCAGTGTCCACCCTGTCCCGCCGTCCAGTTCCACCGCTGTCCCGCTGTCCCGCTGTCCAGTGTCCACCGCTGTCCCGCTGTCCAGTGTCTACCCTGTCCCGCTGTCCAGTGTCCACCGCTGTCCCGCTGTCCAGTTCCACCGCTGTCCCGCTGTCCAGTTCCACCCTGTCCCGCTGTCCAGTGTCCACCCTGTTACGCTGTCCAATGTCCACCGCTGTCCCGCTGTCCAGTGTCCACCACTGTCCCGCTGTCCAGTGTCTACCCTGTCCCGCTGTCCAGTGTCCACCGCTGTCCCGCTGTCCAGTTCCACCGCTGTCCCGCTGTCCAGTTCCACCGCTGTCCCGCTGTCCAGTTCCACCGCTGTCCCGCTGTCCAGTTCCACCGCTGTCCCGCTGTCCAGTGTCCACCCTGTTACGCTGTCCAATGTCCACCCTGCTACGCTGTCCAGTGTCCACCGCTGTCCCGCTGTCCAGTGTCCACCGCTGTCCCGCTGTCCAGTGTCCACCCTGTTACGCTGTCCAATGTCCACCCTGCTACGCTGTCCAGTGTCCACCGCTGTCCCGCTGTCCAGTGTCCACCGCTGTCCCGCTGTCCAGTGTCTACCCTGTCCCGCTGTCCAGTTCCACCGCTGTTACGCTGTCCAGTGTCCACCCTGTTACGCCGTCCAGTGTCTGCACCGCTGTCCCGCTGTCCAGTGTCCACCCTGTCCCGCTGTCCAGTTCCACCGCTGTCCCGCTGTCCAGTTCCACCGCTGTCCCACTGTCCGGTGTCTACCCTGTCCCGCTGTCCAGTGTCCACCCTGTTACGCTGTCCAGTGTCCACTCTGTTACGCTGTTCAGTGTCCACCCTGTTACGCTGTCCAGTGCCCACCCTGTTACGCTGTCCAGTGTCCACTCTGTTACGCTGTCCAGTGTCCACCCTGTTACGCTGTCCAGTGTCCACCCTGTTACGTTGTCATTAAGCACTGGGGGTGGAAGGGAGGGATATTTTTCGTGAATCTTTAGTGAATCAGAACAACAATCGTTTGTAATTCAAACCAGGGCTGTGGAGTCGATATATTTTTGTGACTCCGACTTCTGCTTCAAAAATGGACCCCGATTCCGACTACAGCTTCGACTTCTACATTTATCTTTAACCCGTGTCCTGAGGAGTGAGGGGATCTCGACCAGCTTAGTCATGGTGGTGGGCGGGAGGGTATTTGAGTATTTGGCCAATCCGATTCTCTCGAAATATAAAAGGCTGAGCAGGCGTGGAAAACGCAAAACAATCGCAATAAGATCCTAGGATTTAGAATTTTAGGTCATTCTTTCCAACATAAACTGTCGAAGTCATTGGAGGTCAGTAAAGATACATAAGTTCATCAGGAAAATATCCCCGATTGTGACTTTCTTTGTCACAAAAGGGTGCGTAAATCGAGACCCAAAAGAGCTAAAAATTCGCAGAAAGGCGCATTCGATAGCTCTGTCAATGCTCTTTTGCTAACGTTTCCTCAGATTTGACATACGGTCAAACCCCAACCGGTTGTCCCACAGAGGGCGAAGACTACCAATATGCACGGATTTTTCCAAAGCACTTCCCCCACAATTTTTACAAAGCATTTGGAGGTTATCGGGCCAAAGCACAACTAACAAATTTTTACCGCATCCCGAAGTTGAACAGGGGACACTACTACGGCAGCGACAGGGCACCTAACCCGCGCCGGTTTAAACTCCCCCTGCGGTTTTTCGCAGATATCTCAAAAAACGGCCTTGCGGAGTGGCGCTGTTTTTGGTACACCTGTTTGTGCATCTTTTCCGCACATGTTGTGAAAATTTCAGACCCAGGTCCCCTTAGGTCAAGTCACCAGGTCACGCTAAGTGACCTCACCTCAGAAAAATAAGAATGCTCGTCATAGCTACACCGAATGATGCCTTGAAACTTTCAACGATTGATTAGAGCAACATGATCTATAAAATGTATATCTCGGAATTTTGATATCGGTGACCTAAGGTGAGGTCAATTTTGCGGCCTCTCAATTATAAGTCAATGGGAGAAAATAGAAAAGCGTCTGTTTTGCACGAACGCTATTCTATACACTCTCAAACATCGACATGTAGGTAAAATTGACACACTGAACAAAAAAATGGCAACTCTGACCCCTGGTTATGTCCCCGAGGTCATCTCAGGTCATGAACAGAATCTAACAGCTTTTTCGCTAATAACTTCTGATAGAGGCGTGCTAGAGCGATGAGAACGCCTTAGATGTGTTCGGCGCGACGTTGCAGATCGACTGATATGCAACATTACCTTTTCCAGTCAGGTCATGACCTTGACCTGAGGTCAATTTTCCAAGTTGATCCTTCAAGGTCAAATTATAGTTCATTCGACGCGTCTCGACGAGAGGAACACGATGCTGGCAAAAGTAATGTCATGTTTTTTTTTAGTCAAAAGTTATTACCGACAAAACGTTTTTCGTAAAAACGGCTATTTTTGGAGTTTTTGCACTCTGGAGGCTAAACCGTTGACCTGAGGTCAAATCTGAGAACAATACTCAGAAAGGTCTGTAAAAGGGCTATCGAATGAATGCGCTTTTCCGCGGCGCTGTAGCTCTGTCGGTTCCCGAGATAGCCGTTGGTAGTTTCCAAAATGTTGAAATAGTCAACATTTTACCATTGGTGACCATTGGTGAACTGCCCTTTGACCTGACCCCAAAAATGACCGAAGTGTTTTTGTCCTTATTTTAGACGTTCTTTCGATTGCCGCTTACCACGTGTCGCTACGTGGCCCAGGAGCCGAGTTTGAAGGGGGGGGTCAGACACCCCCGGCCCGGCGCGGAATCTCGAAGCACCGGCCCGGCGCGGGTTTTAATTAACCCTCGCCCGCACATGCCATTTTCCCATCCTAGAACGCACATGGGGGGGGGGGTTGCCACCCCCCCCCCCGCGCCATTTCGTTCCTGTTGGAGATAGAGCTCTTGACCTTTCGAGGTCAACATATATATCATTCGATGCGGATTGACGAGAGGATCACGATGATGCCCTTAGTTTGTTCCTATCTTGACTAATTCGAAAGTTATTCGAGAAAAACTCTCTCCATATCTAGCGCCGCCATTTTGACTTTTTCGACCCCTGTGACGTCATCTTTGACCTGACCTGAAAATGACCTTAGTAAAAATTGTAGATCTTGACCGTGCGTATCCGATGCCGTTTACCGTTTGTCGCTGCGATGTGTAGTTTTTGAGATCTGAAGGGGGGGCCGAATCGGCCCCCCC